AACTGATAAAATCAGTGCAAGTTTATGGTTTCGTCTTGTAAACTAAATGTTTTGCCCCACCTCTAACAGTCAGAAATATGTTGTGTATGAAAGTTGTTTTGAACTGTTACCTGGCTGGTAAAAGTTGGGGGAAAGCTCCCTGGCGACCGCCCTGGCAATTTCTGATTCATGCACGGCAGAGATGGCGGCTTGTTCTGCAGCCTCGCTTTTTGTCCTGGCGTGGGCCGTCCTGGACACAGCATGGGAAGAATAACATCAGAAAAAACAAACCACACATTACAGTAAAGATACAATAAAGAATTGGGTCACCTCTACAAAGGAATAGACAAAAAAACATTTATGAAGACATATTTTTTCCACTTTCCAGTAAAACAAAAATGCTTTTTGACAGTTACCAAGCATGCTGGATTGTTTCTATTAAATGGTTCTCTACTGCTATTATTTTTCCTCTCTATTAACTCTGCTCCAAGTAGTATAACTCTGCCTTCCCCTTCTAGGATAATGTAACACTTTCACTTGCGTTGATATTTGAAATCCAAATCCTGATTTTCCAAATGGAACAAAGCCATAACCCAGCAACAGCTTTACACAGTCTGGGGCACGGCACTGGGTCACCAGAAGTTGTCGCTAAGACAAACATACAGGTAAACAAACAAGAGTACATGACAGGAATCGCAAAGCCAAGCCCAAAATCTTTTACAGTCTCTGATGATTGACATAAACATTCTCAATAGATACATGTAGTCTAGGCTGCCAATAAACCTGCATTGTTGTAGATTCTGAATATCAAGCTCTGTTTAATCCTAAAGCCAAATTTGACATGGTAACATATCTTTCTCTGAACATCCAGTGCAGCATGTTAGAAACCCTGGTATGAGCAGCTGAAATTACTCTTAATACTGATAATATTCTCCTGGTTATAATTATAAATAGGCCTTAACCTGCAAAGAAAAAATGTACAAATATGTCAACACTTGTTAATGTGACATTTTGCAAAATGAATCAAACAGATTAAAAATTATATTTTAGCTTTAAGTCAATTTTTTTTGGTAATAAGAACCACAGTTATAAGTTATCAATACCTACAATCTGCTAATCCTCCTTGATAAAAATGTAACTACACTACAGAACATGCCGAGAGCTTTCAGAGGTAAAAATCCACTATTTTAATTTACGCTTTGAGATCAAGACCACATTTGTTGAACAGGTAAAATACATTTTACCACAAAAACTGTGTAAATCAACGGAAATCATTTTCATTCATTATGACCCTTCACAGTTCAACAATATTCTTAAAAAATATATATATATACATCGAAAATCAGACTTGGAACAATATGGCAATGTGAGGTTATGCAATATGGGAATGAATGGCAAAAGGATGGAGTGAGTGGAACCTCTCTATATCAGAGCCATCATTCTCCATGTGTACATCTATCCCAGGATAAACGCTTTTTTCATGGTTGAATATTTTCAGATGCTCTGCAAGCATAGCATAATTCCTTAGATGTATTCAAATAGAGTGATGTGATACAGAAAGGCACAAAAATTCTACCATGGGACTCTGAGATGTGCACATGGTTGCACAGCAGGGGGCCAATTTTTAAAATAAATGTTTTTGTTGCTCTATGGACTGTCCTGTCCAGATGGAATCCTTCCTTGGATTAAATATTATTACATTTACTTTTATTCAAGCAAGAAACATTTGTTGGGATTAAAAAATCCTTTTAAGAAGAGGGCATTGCCCAAAAGCAGCAGCAGAGAAAATATTTAAGAAACAATTTTAAGGAACAAAGCATTTCAAAAAGAAAACAGGTTCTGGGAGAAAGCAAAAAATAAGCATATGTGTATATACTATACAAGCTTTGAAAATATAAGCCCCACTATGTATGGGGCAAAGATATGTTCCACTGGGTTTTCTTAAAAAATGTAGCAACAACACAATAAAAAAACAAGAGTCCCTACTGGATAATGCACTTGTTTGATATCAGACTTCTTTAATATTCCATGAATGTGCAACAAGGAATGACAGGATGCAGCTGCAAAGTTCTAACATCACTGTAAGTATCGACAGCTGTGCCAGCTGCCCTGATTAACCCAGCTCATCCATCTTCCTCTCCCTCTTCCCTCCTCGGTCTGTCTCTCTTTCAATCAATGCTCCCTGTTTCTTTTTTCATCCTTCATCTAGCTATTGACGTCTGCCCTCATCTGTCTGCATGCGTGCTGCTCCCCTCCCTCAGCATCTTTCCATCAGACAGACTCTTCTATTTTAAAGTACTCTCCTTGTCCTTGGGCTTTGGGGCTGTCTTGTTCGGGACAGGCTGGAGAGTAAAATATTAAAATGTATGAGAAGCCGCATGAGACCCAAAATAAGGCAGGACATCACCCACAGACAAAAGACACACTAAGGCTGCAAGATTATGTTTGGAAACCATGGGAGCTGCTCCAGACAAGAACTCAAGTCTAATTTATATTCATGACAGTCACATCATTTGACATGTTTTCTATTAAGCTAAAAGAATACAGCCAGTATACAGGTTCATAATCTTATAAAAAAAAAAAAACAGTTGAGGCTGACTTTAAAACATTCCGGTTACCTCACATTGCAGACCTGCGGGTCGCACAGGTTCAACTGTCACAGATTTCCAGAGGGACCTGTATGATTCTATTGCTATTTTCATTGTATGCTGCAATGCCCATGACACAGCCCAAGGGATCTGATCACAGTGAAGTCATGGACAGACCGAAGAAGTGATGCAGACTGTTCCCAGACAGGATGTCTGCTGGTGGGAGGTGACAGGCAGAAAATGATGGGAGTGGAGGTGTGATAGAGCACTGGGACAAGAGGGGGTGAAAGGAAAGGTGAGAAAATACAGGCGTGTGCAGGCATTAGACGAAAGGAATGGTTGGTTTTGTTTTTGGCAGAGGGTTAAGCATGCATTACCTTTTGGATATCATTAGGATTTGAATTTATTTTCTAGCAATTAGTTTTAATTTCTTGAGACCCATCAGTTCTGATTTTTTTTACTTTATGAAACCTATACATAATGTAGAGATATAATAGAAAATCCCTTTATTGTCCAACAGTGGAAAATTGTGGTGTTGCAGCAGCAAAAGCATTACACCAAAGTGGTCACTCAAATGTGGACCTTAAAAAGTGTATAAATATACCAGAATAAGTGACAGAGTTAAAATAGTGACAGAATTAGTTAAATGACAGTGAACAAAACTGCAAAAATCAGCATGAATATAACAATTTATTGATGTTTTTGGGAACAGTGATGATTACAAAGTCTTACAGCTACTGGCAGGAAGGATCTGTGATAATGCTCCCAGGTGCATTTAGGGTGTAACTGTAAATATTTCCTATTTTTAAAGAAAAAGGACAAATTGATGTAGCTATATGTTCTCCGAGTTGAAATATCTGCCACTATGATGATTACCACTGATGCGGATTCCTTTAAGGGCTCAATCATTTGAAATTATGTGGGGGAAATTCTGAAGGGAACCTTTCAATTTAGTAGTTGGTATTTACTCTGTTTTTTGTTGCCTGTTGCCTCGTAAAACATTTCACAGTTTACTGTAGAAAATATTTACAATTAGAAGCAATAACACAGAAAATCTTTGTTCATGCCTAAAAAAAACTCAAGATATAAAATAATAAACCTTCGCCACATCCTAGTAAAAGCAATTTTCTTCTGCAAAGCCTGTAGCTGCAGTTTTGTATTTAACAGTAAGACAAAATATTTATTCTGTGTGCGTGTAAGATATTTTGTAAGATATATTTCTTTGACTGATGGTTGACAAATTACAGTTTGACATTTATAATAGTTATGCTAAAATAAGTTTTTTATGTTAGCTCCATATTCTAGGCCCTTGTTCAAAATAAATAGAAGAATTGTGCAGCTGCCCATTTGAAGTTACAGAAGCTGTTTGGGATGTGACAGGTTTGAAACTGGGAATGACCAGAAGTAATAAAAGCATGCAATAGAATAAGCCACTTCTGATGCAAAAAATACAAGTTCTGCCTTCTGTTCTTATTTTTACAGTATGTTTTATTCTATACTATATTATGTTATTTTTCATTGCCTTTTTTGTTGTTTTTTTTAACAGGTGGCAGTCCAGTATGAGCAGCAGTCAAGGCAGCAGGCTATGCACCTTCATACATAGGAGGAATGGGGCAGGTTCACTCCCTGCCCTTGGTTTACCAGATATGCCATTAGTACAGTATTTCCCACTGCAAGTGAACAACTGTTTTAGGAGGACCAGAGTTTGATTGCTTGTTTGATTTCAAACGACCCTCCAAAACATAAATAAATAAATAAATTAATTAAATAAAATAATAAGATTATCTGAGGAATTTGACTGTGGTCCACTGAAAGTTATCCAAAATCTGTGGTGTGAAATGCCTCTCACAGTTTCTTTAGTTGTGAAATGACAAAAATGTCAATCATCTATAAAATAAAATCAGATTTCTTTCTGTACCATCTTACTCCTATATCTATTTCAGTAATCTAAAACAAAAATCCTGAGAATTTTAAATGTGTTTAATGACCTTCACACCTAATTCAAATGGTTATACTCCCTCATGGCTTGCAGTCAAACTCCACACAGCTCTGCTAATGAGCTAATACTTTAGAGTGTGTCAAAGCACAGAAGCATCTAAAAGTTGCAGGAATTTAAGAGTTTAAGACCACTGCTCTTTGTGATCTGGATGTTAATATAGGATTGCATGGATCTAGAGGACAAAGATACAAAGATAAGAGCAGACAGTCACCATGAAATAGCTAGTTCAAAGTAACGGTCACACTCCTCACTTAGCTGTGTTACGATCATAGGCTGTACTTTAATCACAGCGCTGTATGTTTGATGACTTCAAAGGGTGAAACCAGACATAAAATCACCAACATCCCTTCGTAACATGTAATAAATAAGATATTACAATGATCTCTCCTTCTCATCAAAATGATTCCCAGAATGCAGATGACAATAAAATATAACAACAAATCTGACTAAATGCATCAAGGAGAAGAATTTGATCTCATAACTGAAACGTTTTCATCACTTTACCAACTTAAAACACATTCAAACAAGCATGAGAGGTCCAACAGTTAATACTTTGATGTTTTTATCAGAAATTCAAAACATATATTGTGTATGAGCCATGAAAACAAGCAAACTTACTTTTGACCACTTAAAGAAGTTATATGCACTGTAACTTGTCAAACA